CTTTTAATTTACATAATTAAAATATGTTTAATACATGAAGACTAGACATGTATATATATATATATGTGGCCATATTCAGAGCACGGCTTACTTCTAAGTTTTCTTCAGTGAAATCACATGGACACAATTTATCCTGGATCGTTGTACAGTGGTGCTATTTGAATTTTTGTTTTATCGTGCTGCAAATTAATAAAGGTCTGTTATCTTCAGTGGAAAAATATTGGTCAAATTATATATCTATTTATCAATACTGATGAAAATTAAGCATTTGAAATTTTCTGTAAAATTCCAAAATTATTTCAGCCGATATAGTGCAGGTGACACATAAGTACATTCTACTTCACTTTCACGTCTATTATAGTTACAAGCCTATGTTAATTGTTATTCGACGATTTGTTTTTTAGTGCAACAAATGTCATTATTAAAGAGTTTCTTTTAATAATTTCATATGTTTCATTATGTTCTCGTGTGACTTTTCTTTTTGGCAGATGTGTGTTAACACATGTGAATTTAGGACCGGCATGGCCAGGTGGTTATGGCGCTCGACTCGCAATCCGAGGGTCGCGGGTTCGAATCCCCGTCCCACCAAACATACTCGCCCTTTCAGCCGCGGAGGCATTAAAATGTGACAGTCAATCCCACTATTCGTTGGTAAAAGAGTAACCCAAGAGTTGGCGGTGGGAGGTGATGACTAGCTGCCTTCCCTCTGGTCGTACTCTGCTAAATTAGGGACGGCTAGCGCAGATAGCCCTCGTGTAGCTTTGCGCGGAATTCAAAACAAACCAAAGCAAAATGATTTCAACATATATACTTTACTAATATGTGTTGTACATAATCTTGGACTTCTATCTCAAAATACGTATCAAAGCACTGGAAGTATGAATTATTTGTGGAAACGTTAGTTGACCTTCAAGGTTACACAAAGAAAATACATTGAAGAAATTATGTCATTTCAAGGAGTTATCTCGCTAACCAAGAAGTTCAACCAATTCAGTGAGTTATCTCACTAATCCTAAGATTTTATAATGTCTACTAACAACCCACATGCCCATAGTAATTCACAGTGAGAAAGTTTACATAACTTGGTCTTTAGTTCGTACTGTTACGACAGTGGGGGTCACGTGACGAGTATTCTAGAAGATTCGCTAGTGTTTTACGACAGCGGGGTCACGTGACGAATATTCTAGAAGATTCGCTAGTGTGTTGCGACAGCGGGAGTCAATTGACACTGGTAGCACGTGTTGAGAGTCTTAGAAGTTTCTAGAACAGGCAGTATTATCATATATAAGTGCGCTAGACAGTGAGAGAGACAGACGGAGTCGAATCAGTAGATGAAGCAGAGACGAAGCAGGCAGAGAGAAAGAAAGACAGCGATTACGGTCGGTGGGAACTGAGGATAGCAGACACAGAGATCGGAACTATAGTTTGCGGGGACGGACAATTAATTCTAAGCGCGATAGAAAGTGAGTGAATTGTTGTGAACTATAGTGTGTGTAACTGTGAAAATTAAGTGCATTACATAGTTGTATTGAGGAAGAATAAACAAGTTTTATAAAGAAAAGACTTGTATCTTAGAAGAATTAACAAACAAACATACAGAGACGTAACAATACTTAAAAATACTCTGAGTATATTAATGTGAAGGTTTATGTTGTATTAAGTGTACATAATCTCACTAGTAGAGATTTGTTGTAATGTTGAAGTTTTAAGGAAGAAATGAGTATTATTTTAGTTTCCCAAATTTTTTTAGTTGTTTTATATGCTTTTGATGAATTGTGGTTAGGCCTACTAGGTATTGAGTTATCATTAAACCTAGATATCTCAAAATTACAAGCAGCTTACAATTATAGTTTACAATTACAAAACCTGTTCACAATATGATATTAATTTACATGTGAGAAGCTGGTTTAGTAAGAGAACTTTATTTCAGTGTTTGTTAATTATGATATATATATATATTGTCTCTATTTTTGTCCTTCTAGGTTCACCTCTTTGACATTGATATTCCAGGTAGAATTACTATACGAGAATCTGAAGCAATGAATCCAGGAAATTCACTCACTATTATTCAGACTGGTAAGTTAAATGTGAAAGCATTCATTCCACTAGTTAATAGTGAAATTTTTGTTTAAAAAAGAATTACATTTATTTGACTATTTATTTAATAGTACTATGAGTATCTTGCATAAAAAGAAACATTAGTGTTGCAGGTAGATCTAAAGAAATAATCATAATAAAGTAACCATAACCTAGACCAGTAAATCATAATTTCTTGATCCAGGAAAAATGGTTAATATGTCACAATATTCAGTTTATTTAAGCATTTTTAATACAACAAGAAAAGATGTATATGTGAAATATTTTATTTTCAGATTTGTGTAAAATAGGAGTTGGTATCTGCTATGATATTCGTTTTGCGGCAATGGCAATGGTGTATGCCAAAAAAGGTAAGAAATTGCTATCTACCCAAGTACGCTGTATTATTTCTTCCATTTAATTTATTTTGCATGCATCAGAGAAACATATGCTTTTTTTTTCTTTTCATAATTTAAATTTTCTTATTGATACTCACACTTTTAACAAAGTGTGTTCTCAGTCTTGCTATGAATTCATAAATTCACATTAATTCTGAAGCTAGTATTTCAGTTAATTCTTCAATTAATGGTTTCAATAATTATAGAAATCCTTTTACATCTTTGGAAACTTTATTACCATAATTTTTACCTGGCATGCAGAAAGTTCCATTAACTGCATTATGAGCATTTATTGACCACATATTTAAGGCATTAATGCTGAGCCTTCTCTGTGTGTGTCTGGTGGACTTCAGGGTCTTGTGGATGCCAATTTAACTATCTCTATATGGGCTTTGTCATTTTGACCAACCTTATAACCACCATGTAACCATTCAACTATTCTTACTATAACTCCAAATGTATTAAGTGTATCTTCATAAAATTTGGCAAGTTTGTAGTAGATGTTACAAGAATCCGTTTTTTAATAATTATTTTTACTAAAGATTTGTCTGTGAATTTATGAAACCTTTACTGATTCAGTGTTGAATGAAAGGTGATTTTCATGTTAAGAATAAACTACTTTTTTCATCTCATAATTTTCATATTCATTTGCATAACTTCTAGAATTTAATAAGTGAATATTGAAAGTTTTTTAGTTAAATTACACTTTATCTCTTCTTTTTCTTAGTTAAACTACATTTTATCTAATTTTTTTAGTTAAACTACACTTTATTTCATGTTTTCTACCCTAACACTAGTTGTAGTGAAATCACCTACAGTGAAAGTTGAAAAGCATGAAATATAATCAAAAATTCTTTTTTTTTGTATGTTTGAAGATTATAACAAACAATTACATTTATTTATATTAACAAGTTTCAGGCTCAAAAAAGTTGCACATCTGTTTTCATTTAATTTTCTTGTTTTATTGCTCTTTGAACTAGGCCTAACTACTTAGACATGCCATAAAGCACCCAGCAGGAGTGCAGAGAGCTTAGGGTAAACAGGGTTTTAAGTTACATTATGCAAGTCTAACTGTGCACACTCCTTGAGAAATGATCATGAAAAATTTATAAAAAAATTTTTGATTTAAGATATTTTTATAGCATAAGAGATTTTTAATTTCTACATTTTAACTACTTTTGTTAAAAAAATGTATAATAGTAAATAAAAATTGAGCACTTATCCTAGCTCTAGACTGGTTTTCACACAGATGTTTGCTTCACTAGGTTTTTTTCTGAGTATATTTGTTGTCCAGAACACAATTAAAGTAGCTTTCAAATATGCATTTTAGAACATAAACATATATCAGGAACTGGAAAAGAATGTCCCTAAGTTAGTTTAATGTGTTTGGCTATCTAACTAAGTGAAATCTTTATAATGTCCGGATAGTTACCAAACATTTCTTTACAAAAAGCTTTATATTTTATCTGTTATTTTCAGTAATTAATCTCTGTACGGGTTCGGTAGATTTGACCAATCTCACAACCACCATAAAAAATTAGGAAATAAACATAAATTATGTCTGTTTCATTCCAGAATGAACACAAATTATAACACGAAAACATAAATGTGTAGACGAAATAGCTTAAATCTCATAACATTATACATTTATATATAAATATATATATTGTTACGTCTCCGTTTGTTAATTGATTTTCCGTAACTTCGTTCCGACGAAACTTAAGCGACACAAGTTCTTTC